TACGTTTCAGTTCCTTGCGAAATTGAAGGCAACTTTTGCTGGTAAACTGCTTGACAGCCTGCCCAGGAACGATGCGGTGGTTGAACTACTACCAACAACACCACCAGCTGTGTGATTTCACCGTCATCATATTTATGCCAGGAATAGACCATTTATTTTTTCTCTCTTTTGGTTCTTCTGTATCCCGAATGTACACTTGCTAGAACATTTTAAAACAATTTGTTCTGTGTCTGAGAAATCAAAGTAGTTCAGCTTCCTGCCAGACATTTAATAACCATTATGAAGTAAAAGATGGTCTAATAATATTATTTAGGCATTTCATAATAATGTTCAGGAATATCGACAGAAATTCTACACAAACTGAACAATGGTTCACAAACACGTATGTCTATAACAAAACATAGTAAATTTCAATAATCATTTATAAAGTTTTGAGCAGGCGATGCAAAGAATATACTAAGGTCATCTTTTAATGAAGTATTTTCATCGTAGAAATTAATCGACATCTATGATATTCTTACAGAATATGTCTTATATGAAAACAAAAGAACTGTACATGTATGGGAAGCTGTATTCCCTATTACGGGCCAAGTAAAGTAGGGCCGTTTTCATCAACAACTACAAGTTTGTCTTTGCTTTGTAGTGACACTATATGATAATATTGTGTAAACAATTTAAAGGAGCTCCAAACCCCGAAGCAAAATAAAATTTGAAATTCGTGCATAGATTTATTGATGCGGATAAAATGAAAAAAAATCTGCAAAAGATAATTACGAAATATACTCAGAGTTTAATTGATTATTGGTTTGTTTACGACTTTTATCCCTGTTTTAGTGAAAACTCTTGCAACTCTTTTTTTGTTCATTTTTCTTAAATAAGAACTGTTAGCAGTAGAAATACTTTTTTTACTCAGGCACCTATAGTGTAATGCTGATATTTAGAGCGTCGTTACGCTATACTTGTATAACGCAAATGACGGCACGTTCAAATATATGCACGGCCATGCAATAGTATTTTGACAGTGTTACAAAAGCAGCACAATTATATGATAAACGAAATACTACACACGAACAGACGCGCATAAATTATATCAGTCAGGAATGCGTACAGTATTCAAAACAAATATATATTGTTAAATCAACCAGGGTCATACTTAAATTGTTACAACGTTTTTTTTCTTCTGTTTTTCATTTCCTGTTGTTGTTTTTTTTTAATAATAACTTAAGCGTGGGTGCACAATATTTAATCAAGTGGGCAAAATACATATATTAATTTTCGTCTGGCTTCCAAATGATTAGCTGATATTGTTACTGTATGAATAGCTTGCCAGTTGAAAATAAGAACTAACGCTGATGAAAAACTTCTAGATTCTCCCAATATTAATGCCGAGATTGTATTTTGAATTGTATCAATAAAAACCTTAATTATTATGTCACATAGTTTCCCCCACCTTAAACAAAGGTTGAACATTATGTGTCAGACTGTTACGGAATAAATGCTTTCAAGAAAAGCTACGATTACATTTATATGACAAAAAAAGTCATAACCGGGAAGTTATCCACTGAACAATCGCCACGGCGCAACCGGGACTCGAACCATGAATCGCATTATAACACGGCCAGTATCTGTATGATGTGAGTGTACTTTCCAATATAATTGCTTTTCAGAAAAAATAATAACTGAAATATATACGCAAACTACTTATCCTGATTTTCCGCAACAAAATATCTTAAAAACAATACTTTTATATAAATGTTATACTCACAATTGTAGGATTTAATACGTATAACACCTACTTTTGTAGTAATAATTGGTCAAATGAGTTTGACATATTGAAACGTTGAGAAAACAATTTGATACAATCTATACAAGAAGATAAAGTCAAATATTTTGACAATTTACTCAAACTTTTGAAAGATGTTTATAATCTATATTTTCAAGGATTATAGTTTTATTTTAGTGTTATCTGCTTTGTTTTGTTTATTTTATTATTTTTATTTGTATGTATATGTTGTTATTCTAGTACATATGAATAACTCGATGAAACTCATTAAATTGTCTCATTGCATATAAGTATAATATTTGTGAATAAAGCAGAAACTAGAGCTATCACTGAAGGTGATTCATTCCCGATCAGCCACTTTTAAAGATTTAGAAGTCAGAGTCGACCTTTATTTTAAGATGACCAATAATTATTACACTCAATTGCCTTGTTAATAGAGTTTAATAATATGTTAATCATTCAGTACCTTAAGTAAAAAAAGGAGCCATAGATAAAGTGAGATAAATATGTTGAAAAAATCAGCAAAATTTGAAATATACCTTTATTATATGATCATGTAACACTTATGTAAACACATTATTACAATTTATTATTTATTTTAGTAACAGTGACCTTGACCTTGAACCTAGGATGTCCAACAACAATCCCAAGAAAGATCTCTCCATACCCATGCAATATACCAAGTTTTATTACAGTATCTCATTCCTTACTCTTGTTATCATTTGGAAACCATTTTTCTATTTATAGAACATGTAAAAGTGACTTTGATCCCAGGGGGCTCAAAAACAATTCCACGCTAGGTCTTCATAAACTTACTTTATACCAAGTTTGATCACAATACCTCATGCTAATTATATTCCGGAAATAGTTTTTCTTTACGCCGGTTAAAAGATGCCTTGTTATAGTTCGCTTGTTGGCGACGCACCTATGGAATTAAATCAGATTTTGTGAAAGGGCGACAGCAACTTCTCGGGCCTTTTCGTCGGTCATAATAGCCGATCATTCCGATTGGTATGAGGGTTTTTGATTATCAAAAAATGAAATGTCGCGAACAATTAATAACAACTGGAGAATTTCGCAATGCAAACATATTCACATGAAATAATCTTTTCCGTCAAATAATCGCGCTCTTCGGGTTTTTTTATTAATCATTTTGTAGTACACAGTGGGTTATTATGGTTTGTTATTGTTGCACATGTATCCGTAAGCTGATGCCTAGTCCAAAAGAATGTAGGACAAAACCCCACCAGTTAAAACCCCACACCTCAAAATTTTATAGAGTGGACAAAACCCCACCACTAAATTTTATAGAGTGGACAAAACCCCAACACTAAATTTTACAAAGAACTATTGATTTTGACTACTTTTTGTATGTTCCAAAGAAAATACCATATTAACTTAATTCTTTCAAATCACCTATATTAATGATATTATCCAAAAATACCCCCTATATAGTATAAATAAATTTATACCATATGGTAAGTATATTTTGAATATCATTGACCTGTATATTTTGGAAATTATCGTTAATATTGAAAAAAACACAAGTAATATTCTAATCTCTAGCATGCCTTCCAAAGTTCATAATGAACAATGTCTTTCGTCAGCTCATTCATAATTGTGTACAATTCTGGTAAAAACCAATTAACCATTGAAAAGTTTATAAGAATATCTTGTCATGATATGTCTTCTAGTTCATCTTCACTTGCTGCATTTCTTGCTTGGACGCCCTTTGATGCTTTGCATCAATGCTTTTCTTGTTCTTGTACTTATATATATTTAAATATTTACAAAATAATGGCGTGTTTCTTTAAGTTGTTCGGTATGCATCCGAGCACTGTAATATTCAAATAATGGTTGCATTCAAAGAATTGATAGTACTATTTGAGCATGCCAAGTAACTAGCTGGTACTTGTTTGAACAATAAATAAGACAAACATATATTCCACTCATCATATGGTAATATGTTTATCTAATAGAGTAACAACAACAACAACAAAACATATATTCGCTTTAAGGCCTCCGGCCCATGCAAAGAATATAATTATACAATTACAAACATTTTAATACAGCAAAGCATGCGTTTTAACAAAATATATGATATAAAACACAGCTCAAATAATAGGAATTATGAGGTTATCTTTCAACACACACATTATTGTTTTAATAGAAATAATTTTTGTACAAACACATGCACTGGTGTAACAGTATTAACATTTTGATTGGTTTAAATGGCCTATTCAAACTGAACACCAGTTTGAAACATTACCCTATATACAGTGTAAAGTTGCTGTTATATCTGGGACATATACCATCACAGCTTATCTAACAATTGTTGCAAAGTAAACACAAACATAATGCCACAACAAATGATAATTAAAGGACAACAATAAGGTTTTGTAAATAAAGGGACTGAAAATATATTGCTCGATATTTGTGTACTTTTAAATTTAGATCTAGGCTCATATCTTGACTATGAGGAATATTTAAAGCCATTTCCTCACTCCGTCGTTTCTTTTCAGAATAATCATTTTAATTGTGCAACGGTTTTCACTTAATCTGAGCTAAGAACTGTACTGAAATTCGAGTTTAACCTAGTTTAACTCAGATAACCCACCTTATTAATCGGAATAACAGGAATAAATATGTTGCATATATAGCACAACCCCTTTCTAAACTAAGTATATTAAACAGTTTATAAATTGTGTTCTGATATTAAATGAAATATTGTTATGTGGCACTTTAAAGGTACATCCAAGCTCGACTGTTGCAGGAATGGTCTAAGTCCTTCTAATCTGCATCACTGACGTGCGAATTGAATACTTATAACCCCAGCACGTTCTCCAGTTTACACCATTAGCATATGACGAGTGATTACCAAATAAATAACGTCCATTCAAATTGCTATAATGACACATTTTATACCACCATGCCCCTTCATAAGTCTGAGCACAATTGCCGTCCCATTGGTCGTTATCCCTATCTTTTGTCGTGAACATTTCTCCGTTTTGGAAAGAAAAACTATCCCCACAATCTCCAGAGAAACCGCTAACATGCAACAAAAAATTTGAACTTTCGTCGTCGATCTTAAATTTTTGGATAGTTTCGTATGAAATGGGAAGGGGAAAGTATCTCCGAAGGCTTCCCATTTTAAATTTTTTAAAAAGAACGGGTCGAAAATTTAAACGAAAATATTTTTATAAAAGGCCAACCCAATTTACTGCCTGAGGGCGTGTCCGAATCCATGAACATATTCTTCCCATGTTCGGTAAAAGTTTTCTCTCCCGTTCATTCGACGTTGTATAACTGTCCAACCTCCATTTGTCATATCGCACCATGTCCGTATACAAGTACTTCCGTCGGGCTTAATTGTATATGTACCATCTTCACGCCATCCCATTTCATACAGTTCAAGACAGTCTTTTGCTTCTGTAAATACATTTACTTTAACAAAATAATTGTTAGCAATAAAACAGTTTAAAAAGATTTTATGCAAAAACATTCTTTCGGCAATTTTCAGCTATATTATTGAATACCGATAGCATTCGATAGCCATTTTATTCAAATTTTACCAGTAAATGACAATTAATTAGTATTGTCTAAACAGTACGTACACGAAGCAGTCTACCTTCACATATAAAATAATTCTATTCCGTATAAATTGACAAAATTTCAAATATTGTAGGGTTATTATTCAAACATAAATGCATCATTTTCTACATCATTGGTAGAAAATCCAGGAGTAAAGCATCGTACAGGTAGTGCTGAAAGAAAGCTCAGCATGACTAGCTGTCACTGCACTCTCCTCGAAACGCAACTTTGGCAGGAAGAGTATAGTAAGTCTAAATAATGCAACAAAAGGAGCAGTCAACCTTATCGGCTATCCTCCATAAGTAACCACATATTAACAATGTTTTGCGAAAAATTATCAAATGTTAATCCGATATGATTTTTTGAATTGGCTGTTCAAAACAAATAACAAGAAAAGATCAAGACCGAGGATCAATACAGCGACCCCTTGATTACATGTCCGATGCTTTCTCAACTGACCTATGCACACATCCTGTTTCATGTGAAATGGCAGGAAGCAATTAATAAAAGTTGCACATTTGACGCAGATTTGTTTATCAAAGTATTGGGCCCATTTTCTTTGCACATTTGCTATCATCTGCGGAAATACTGTTTAAAATGCCAATACTTTATTGGAGATATCCTGCCAACAAAAGTTATTTTTGATGATTTTTTTAAGATGCAACCACTACTTTTTCATTACGGCTTTACATTTGCAAACCAAATAGTTTCTACATATTTTCCTCTATTTCTCTTATATGTTTATAGTTAATTGTGATGTGGGTAGCAAAATATACCTAAATAATCACAAGCTTTAACAGATTCATAACTGGTGTCAAATTTTGATTATGTACTTTTACTTTGAAATCAACTTTAATAATACCTCACCACTCGAACAGTGTTTTGTAATAACAACTTCAGGATTAAAACAAAATGTGTGTTATTAGAAAGTGCGTCCACGTAAAATGCTGGGCATATTTTATCTTAACAGTTATCAATATTTTTTTGTTTTATTGTGTTTTGTAACATAACTTAGCAATTTCTTTATTTATTTGTATGGTCTTTTCTATTAAAATATTAATGTAATAACCAGTGCATGACGAACATCAAGTTTCATATAGAATCGATTTATAAACAGCGCGTTTTCTTTTAATTACAGAAATGTTTCCAATTTATAATTTATGTTTGAATTGTACCACACACGCCTGAAACAATGCACTGTAAGTGGAAGTGGGTTCTTCCTCAACCATGACCATATATGCCCTTAATAGTGTCAGTTTGTCTTACAACACAGACAACGATAAAACAGTATACTACTTTATACTACTTTATTACAGCCGAAAGAAACATGATAAATGTCTTACCAAGAACTAAACTTGTTAACTTGTATTTTCTGTTTGTTATATATTTTTCTTTCTATTTTCATCGTACGGTTCGAAAGTACTCTTCAATTTTGTGTATTCGCCGAATATAGAAGAAAGTAGTCCGGCAATACACTAGTAAAATACGGAAAATATGTTTTCAATAAAAATTGTATAAATATTAATAATATATTCATAACATAAACAATATGTATTTTTTATTGTGAAATTGTTCATAAGTTCATTGTATAGATAACTGAATAGGACTTACCGATCATAGAGCGATGTGCAAGTACTGACCCAGGTTCCTGCACATGCTCAAATGTTCCGCAAACAAAATGCATGTAACACACTGAGAAACGTCTTTTGTACACCATGGTATTTGCATGTCCAGTATAGCTGTTAAAACGAGTTAAGCACTGGTTATAACTCAATTTGACCGATGACACTATAAACTCGTTCTCTCCTATTCCGTGGTTGAAGATAACTTGTTGACTATATGCATTATAATATTGCAAATGGTAATGAAGATAAAACAAAATAACTTTAAAAATATATCTATTCCATAGATTCATCTTTGCGAAGGTTTCATAATTTTATTCACATGAATAACTATTTATCATTCTAAATTGACAATGAGCTTGTCACGTATTTATAAGATAACCTTTTGTTCATAAAAACCTTGAAAATAAATAAATGTTCAACACGTTGCTTTATATACCTCATTTTATAATGACGTCATGTAATATTGATTATTCTGTTCCATTTTAATTGGAATTCCTCTGTGAATAATGTTGACCATGAACACATGAATTATTAAAAATTAAAGCTGTTTTGTTAATGAACCAACTACTTTATAACTATTTATATTCGTCTTCACGCTCATCTGACTTTTATTAAAGGGAACAAGCTAAAGGTAAAATAATCGCTAATGATTGCACTTTTATTGAAAATCTATAAATAGTAGCATTAGAAAATCTTCAAAATCAGGCGTTAAAGAGAGAAACGAGCATTTATTCAAAGTTCATTTATTCATGAAGTTAAGCTATATTCATATACATACACAATTGTAAGCTTACATAAGGTTACATAATACAGCAAACAGTACATGACTATTTAAACATTGAATTATAAGAAAATAGAAATACTTCGTAATTTCAACACAGAATATCATACTTATAATAAAACACATCCAGATCTTTATGGGCAATTTTAATCAAAAACCCAGTTTTACCCCCAAAATTTTTATGTTTTTTTGTTGTGATTAATTCCCTTTTTTGAGTGATTTAACACTTTTAATTTTAAAGGTTTTTAAATTTTATTTTTTTTTTTGGGAAATTTTCGGAAAAAATTTTTTTTTGTAGTTTTGGGGGCATAAATTTTTTTACCTTCTGTAACAAAATAGCTGAGTGCATTTGAAGAACCCGTTTTTAGAAAAGATAAAAAAAATAATACCAAACAAAAACAAAATTTTATTTTTTTTCAGGGATAAAAAAATAATAACAAAAAATGTTTATATTTTACCCTTTTCGCAATACTTCTACCCCCAACCTTTAAAAAAAGATAAAATTACCCCAAAAAAATTTTGAATTATTTTTAAAAAAGCATGTTAATAAAAAAGAAAAATTTCAAATTACTTCTAATTAATGCTTAAAAAAACGCATTTTATTTATCTGTAGTATGTTGGCATATTTCTGCCACCAGATAACCATATAACTTACTAGTTAATTAAGAGGTTAACTAGTTACGTAACTACTTAACCTCTTAATTAGCTAGTAAGTTATGTGGTTAATTAGTAACGAAACTATTTTTTTTTCAATAAATAAAAGATCATTACGGGAAATAAATGCATGTTAGTGCCTTAAACTGCAATCCTTTTAATATTTTACTAGCTTAATATTAAGAAGTTAACTAGTTACGTAACTAGTTAACCTCTTAATTAACTAGTTAGTTATCAGATTATCTGTTGGCAGAAATATGCCACGATACTGTTTGGAATAAACAATTTCAATAAATTTTTATCCAAAAAATTTTGCTCAGGATGAAAATTTACTAAGGGCAAAACCCTTTTGTAAAAATTGTCCCAAAAAACAAAAAAAAAGTCCCTTATGTTTAAACATTCTAAGTCAAAGGTATCAAATTTTTCATAATATATTTAAAATTTTTTTGACTACCAATAATTTTTCAATGTTCACCTTTAAATTTTGAAATGGGGGGGAAAGGGATTTTTATTAAATATAAAAATATTAAAAAATCTTTTGAACATCCCCAAATTTTGATTGTGACGGCGGTTATTATGGAAAACTTCAAAAGGACCCCGAACGTCGGGAAACCTTTTTCAAATTTTGGCGTAAAAATTCGTTCCCCAAAATTTAAAAAAAGGGTACGTTTCCATTTAAAAAAATTACAAAGAGAGGGAAAATTTATTATAAAAATAAATGAAATTTTAAAAAATTAACTTTTTAAAATTTTTATAATTCAATTTTGGCAGATTTATTAAAGATGTTTCTACAAATAGTTTTTTAAGAATGTGCATAACGTCGAAATCATTGGAAACCGATTTACGCATATCTAGTTGCTAAAATGTACATAATATATATACTTTTCCCAAACAACAATGCTTATGAGAGTTAAATGATCACGTTGAGTATTCAATGCGAAATAATTTAACATGCAGAGCAAAATACATATCGTTTTGAAAGTGTATATTCATTTGTTTTTAACATGTGAGAACAGAAAATATAAATAAACTGTCCTTGAATTTAAATTAATATTTTAATTGATCTTTTTTTAGATATATTAAAAGTATTATCCGGTATATAATAAGATGTCGCCCGGTAATCTTATACCAGACAACGTGAATCCACTAAAACAATATATTTAATAAAAAGTTACAACCTATCCTAAAATGGTAATTACATCGTTTTCTTCCTACTGCTCATGACATCAAGGTAATACAGATTTGAAAATGTAAAGTGACTGAACTATTTTACAATATTGACATTTATACTTAAACACTGGCATCCAGACAAATTGACTTTGTCGCATCATCAGACTTGTAATATGTGACAATGAGACATTCAGAATCAATATAAAGGAATTTCTCTATAAATGTAGAGAAAAAATAACTAAATGTACATGTGTAACTAAATGAAACAAATAGTCTTAAAAGGAAGATTTCAATTATCATAATTACCATGTGTTGTTTTCATATAAATTAACGGTCAACAAAGAACTAATGTGCCCACAGTATTTTTCTTTGTCTACTGAAATAAACACACTGTATATTTTAGTCTATAATTTGCACCTTTGACCATTGGACTATTTTAAATATTTTTAAAATATTTAATTATTGACGACAGCTTCTCAGTTCTGTATTCGTCAGTATTTTCTTCTGGCCTTATATTTAACAAGCGTTCTTATTGGATAGTCATATCTCGTTTTTGATTGGTCGTAGTAGTTTATTTAACGACGCTACCAGTTATTCGCGCCACTTCTTGAGTTTATGTTTGTATGCGTCACTGTCTGAACAACATTTTTGCAGTAGTTTGTAAAACAAAGAATTGTTTTTTATCAAAATGTACAAGATGATGTCTTCGTTTGAAATGTAAAAGATAAATAAGTTTTCGATCAAGCTTTCATAGCCTTTTGGCTAGGAGGGTAACGAACATTTTATTGTATTGTGAACTGTTGAACTGTTGAATGCAGCAGAGCAGAATTGTTGCCAAAAAAAACAAAAAATATGATAAACAAGATCATCAAGGAGAGGCGGCGTTCACTGAACGTAGCCCCCACCCGACCCAGTAACAAGAGCCAGTGGCAAGGAGCCCAGGAGGACCCCAAACAAAAACCGGAAAGGGCAGTTTTTCATTGCTTAGAAGAATCGAATTTTGGTGAATCTTTTGGTATTTACTTCATTTTGTAAAGAATTTGTATGCAGCAAGTGTATTTCCAATGTGTCGAATTTGCGTAAAGGAAACAGGCCAAATTACCGACAATTGCCTGAAGGGGACGCAGATTCGGATCCAGAGCCCGAAATTTCACAAACTCAGACACTGGTGAAAGCTGAGAAAAAAGTCCTCGTCCGTTTCCTCATTGTTGTTTGTAAGAGAAATTGTTAGCGAGGACGACGATATGTTACAAATGAATGCTGAACTAGAAGAGTTAGAGAATGAAGAAATTCAGCTAAGAAAGCAGCACGAAAAGGAAGAGCTCCGCATAAAATTGAACAAAAAGGCAGAGGTCAAGGCCTGAAAAAAGTAAAGCAAAACATTCAGTTAAAAATTCAGAGCTTTTAGATAAAATTTCATCGTCAGATTTGACAATTAAAGATTTGAGAGGCCCTAAAAGCTCAAAAAGTAAGCAAGAAATGAATCCAAAAAATTGGTCTTTTCAGTTCCAGTGAATCTGAAGTATGCAGCAAGTGTATTTCCAGTGTATTTCCATCATTATGCAAAATAAATAAGATAAATATCACACAAAACAAATTGACATAATCTTGGGGTAGCATACAATTATATAATAACACTCACAAAGTGGTTAACATAATGCTATTTAAATTACATGACAAAATTTGTAGGCTCTGACTGTTTTCCAAATTATAGAATCCGGAAGCAGTGCGATCTTCTAAGAACAATTACAACCATAGTAAAATGTGACAACTGCAGACTTTCTTTGATAGAGTGTGCTCATGAGAGATAATTAAAGATGCAATATGTCTAAAAAATGCTTAAAGTGTATAAAGCAATATATTGGTTGCAAAGAAAATACCGTTAGACTTTTAAAAAAGAAATCTTACAAAATGCTTGTATGAAAGTTATAGATGGAAATAAATTGCCATCAAAGCGAATAGCATATGCAAGAAATAATTGCTTAACGGAAAAAATCCTACTTAGAATAGCAGAAAAATACTTTCTTCCGGAACATTTTATTCTATTAACATACAATAGTCATGTGTGTTAGATAACAGAGCCATTCATCGTACAACGATCATAAGATTGTGGAAACAATATAATTGTACTGCTGATAAATATTATAAAAAAAAAAAACTTTCATGAGATATAGCTTAATATCCTTTTAAATAGCATATGTATATTAACAAATAAAAACTGCAAACACCATTCAGCCATCGTCGGATACCCACGATTGATAAACATGTCACATAACATGCAATCTGTTGAATGTTAATGGTTCGGCCGTGGGTAACCGACGATGTATTCAACAAAAACTAAAATCATTATTTACTTTAAATTTAACATTACAATTTTATAACATTAATGATTTAACATACTTTTTACATTTTTTTTAAAAACATATCATATTATTATCATATCTTATTGTTTAGTTACCAGTCAACTGTAATACGACGCAATCATCCTGCATTTAAAACACAACTGTCTTGTTGCTTTTCACACTTTCACACCTCTGTTTCGTTTATACCAAAGAAATAACAACTTGTTTTTGTGCTCACAATATTACTTGCAATCGGATAATTTAGAATAAAAGCAAATAAATAAGTGTTTATCTTGCTCTTTTTTATTAGTAAATACAAAGTAATAGAAAATTGTAATAAGGATATTTTAAGGTAAAGAGTTTTTGTACCTGTTTATCTCAAAATGTTTTGTACTTCAAGTCTTTGGTGCTTTTTAATATGATGA